AATATATTTAGTATAAAGCTCCCATACTGTGGATATGTCCCAAGTATTTCATCACATCCATTTCTAAGGGGATATTCCTCTTCCAGCCTCCGTGTCTTTGCATCCCTGTGAGTTGTCAATGTCCAGCATGTCACATGGCTAGAATGTCTCTTTCCTATTGATTTCATGGGCTGCTGTTTTTCCTGACCTGAGAAGAAGTGATGGGGCATGCCATTTGAACCAGTCAGTTTTTCCCGAGTGCTGTGAGCTCATTCATAATTACCTCCCAAAAGGCATCACTGTCAGTGAGAAGACATGCTGCCCTCTTCTGGTTGTGTACCAGGAGTTCCCACAGAGCATTTGCATCTGACTTGTAATCTGAAGTGTTAGCACCTGGGCTTTGCTCTGCCATTTGTGATTGTTATCTTTTGTGTTCTCAACCCTCTGATTGAAGTATGTAAATCTTATCTGAGTTCTTCATGAAAGGTTCAAGCCTACACATGACTTGGTTGTAGTAGGTGTCAGAAAACTGAGACATCCTGGGACTGAGAATTGCTTTGGCATTTGTCTTCTTTGGGAAGCTTCAGATAAAAGGTTTTGGTATGGGGAAATTGACTTGTCAGTTGTATAACAATAAAAAAACCTTTTGCAAAGCAAACGTCAGTCAGTTGACCAGCAGCTGCTTTCCCTGCCCTGGCAAAATCTAAAATTGATCCTGGTGTGTGACCTTGTTTCTTCCATGGACCTGTGAGAAACTGAACATCCACACTTGACATGGTGAGGTGAACTCCAGGTGGTGAACTTGCCTCAGATGACCGACAGCCACACATGGCATCTCATCCGTCCTCTCTGAAAGAGATGGTCAGATGTAGATTTCAAGCAGAGACATCTTGTTTGCTGGTGGATATGAACTCCCCGGGATGTAGGGTCATAATTCCTCTCCAACCTTGCCCATAGCATTCCACATGGACCATAATTACTGACCAATAGCCAGATGGACTCTGTGAATTAGTAATTTAAACCTGTGTGTTTATCAGAGTTTGCCCAACTGAGGTCAGTTCCTGTTACTTTTCACAATCAGCTCACGGTGGAATGCAGGAGAGTCTCTGATTTGATTCCACCTCAGAGTCTAAGTGGCTGGATCTTGAATGTAGGCTGTGTTTGTGTGACTCCTGACACAGTCACACCATGCCTAGTGTCTTGTTGCTTGTTGTGGTGAGTGATTTTCTGTCCTTTTTCCAGTAGGTTCAGATTTTGATTATTGACTATTGATCAAATTCTTTTTCTTCTTCAAATCAAGGGAAAACACTTCCCATTAATTTTTCTCTGTGAATGAAGCACACCCATCCACACCCTGCCACACATGAATATGCACAGACACACTCCATCCACTTGCCAGGGGGTGTTTCCTGCTAATATTTAGTTCAGGATTTTAATCTCTCCCTAGACAGGAAGAAAATTTCCACCCGGCTTCATGATGGAAAGAGCAGGCTCCTGTCTTCTCCTAAGGACATCACCAGGCCTGGCTGCACCGACAGAGAAGGCTGTATAGAGAGCTGTGTGGGAGAGAAGAAGGGTGTTCAAATAGCTTCCTACATTTTCTCAGCTGAAGTCTCTGAGGACTTGTGTTTTGTGTCTCTTATCACTAGCCCACTCCCAGAACTCTACTCTTCAAGCTTATCCCTCCAGTTATCAAATGGTTATAATGCTCATCACCTTCTGGAATCCTCTAGTGGCACTTGTGTCAAGTGTAGACTTCTGACTATTCCTGCTGGACTCATCTTCTAGGACAGAATGTCCAGCAGCTCACTAGCTGCAAAGAGGGAGTGATCTCTGTTCCCCCCAGCTCGTCACAGAGCTCAACAGGAAGTCATTCTGAGAGACTCCAGTCTAAGATTTTGTCCAGAGAACAATGGGTATCAGTTCTCGATCATTGGACATCAGGGAGACACTGGACATAAGTCTCTTAAGTAGCCTAGAACAGAGCCTGTCTTGGCCACCATTGATGAATTCCTGAATACACTTCTTTGGAGAATGGGCAGTGGGTTCATTTTTACCCTACAGCTGCCCCCTCCCATCCTCTGATGCAGGTCTCCCCTTATCTCACACTCCGCAAAAGAGAACTCAGCT